ACGGACGGGAGGAGGAGAGGAGGAGGAGGAAGGTTGCTGGTTGAGGTATATACTGTATAGAGTTTCCTGAGGGGGTTATGATACCTACTGTACGAGTACTCTTCGTATTGGTGTTTGGGGTTCCTTTGCCGGGTGGATGGTACTGTGGTTACTTACTTACCTACCTACATAGTACAGTCATCGATACGCTAAATAACCCATACGGGAATAACCCCCCCCCCCCCCCAATAGGGAGAACTTGGAGTTTATTCTAGTGGCTGACAAAGAAAAACATTAATCTTAAAGAGGGAGGGAGTTGCTCTTCCGGGCATAGCGAATGAGTGAGTGAGTGAGCGGGTGAGTAATAGGGCCATGCGGCGAACCGGCGGTGGTTATCGTATATCGGTTGACGACAAGCACGGTATACTATATATTCATACCGTCCCTGAAAAAAAAAAAAAACTCCCAACCTTCCGACAAGTCCAAACAATGCAATCACTAATTATCACTCGAGAATATGTGCGTGTTCCTCCTTCTTTCAACCTTCATGGGGGACGGGAGTTCTAGACGCTTGGTTGCTGATAAAGCCCACGTGAAAGGGAGATTCTCGGCTGGGGAGCATGGGTACCTTCGGGACCTGCGAGTAGGTAGAAGCGCAGCTGTGTTGACGGCGCATCGAGTCAATATGGTATTTTCTTTCTTTCTTTCCTTCCCTTTTTGCACAGTGTTTTGTAGATTGGGTGCTAGGGGTGCACGTATCATACTGTCGAGGGGATTGTAGGTATGACATTAGGGAAGAGGCTCCGGGTCCCACCCAGAGTGTAGGTATGTATCCCGGGGAGTGTCCCCTTTAGCTTTGTTGAAGAACCTGTCTGTCTGTACGTTCTGAGTGGATAGCATTGTCGGCCCTTGTCTCATGCCAAGTGGGGATAGGGATGGGTAAAGGTGCATGGAGCGGCATGTTTGGCTGGCTGTAAGCATGGGCGGTATTTCGGCCATGACGTGGGCTACCGTAGGCCCTTCGCAACTTTGTTGGGCTAGCGAAGCTCCATTAGTAATACTGGGATTGTACTCATCCAGGGTTTCTCTCACTCTGGGGCTAAGTTGAGCATAGCGAGCATAGATAAGATGTGGTGGCTCATCAAATTTTCAATCAGTGTGATTATCAAGATACTTCCGATGATAACTCAATATACTAGTGATTGAGCTCCCTCAAGCGGAAAGTACTGGTACAAACTTCGTATTGAAGGGAAAATGATCTAGGTGACAATCTAGGTAACACCGCACCCTTATAAAACGGGACAAAGCACGGAGCACCCCCCGTGGACAATTGCAGTGACTAGATAGAGGTATTGGTGGAATAGGGTCTCTCCTTGCATCTTGAATAGGTTGTTCTCACGCAGACCAATAATTGCGCAATATCCCCCTATAGTTGCAGCGTAATCTCTAGCAGAATAGGATTTCGGTTCACCAAGACTTTCCTAGTGGCTGTATCCGGGGTAATAGCCGTCCACAGAGGCTAGATACTTTTTGCCCCGATCTTGTGGGCGCTTTCTGGCCTACCGGTAGACAGAACTTGGGCCGATTTCAAAGCTAATATGAGACAATGCACCCGGCTGTTTCTTAGTGAAGATGGTGGGCTCGGGGAGGTAGGGTTTTGTGAGAACGCAGCAACCTATCATAATAGATATTAGTATCAACCTGATGGGCGGCCTATGATTAAGGGTGTTGTGCATACCGGTGACGCTCCCGCCAGTAGAACACAAACACCCCATACAATTGATTTTTGTTGTTTCCTTAAGGTCCCCTTGTTAATCCGGAATCCCTGTTTTGATATCTCAGAATCCCTTTTCCGTCCCTCCCCCCGGTTCTTCCGGGGCCTTGTTTGCGTGCCATTGAGATTTCCGAGGTCCTATTAGATGTTAATTTCGCCACGGACTTGATAGGTATGATACAGGTCGTATTTTTCCAGGGCCGGAAAACTATCGTGTGACTTATCGATATAACTCCGCTGCTTTGAACGTTCATTGGTTCGCACTACATCCATTGCGCATCGAATGACGTGTCGAGGGATCCCCATTTCGATGCTCCCACTGTCAATTGGGCTCGGTATTAGCAGAGGCTCCAGTGTTTGTTCTGCTACAAGTTTGGTCGTGTTATCAACATCTCCCGCGAAAAGGGTTCAGCGTAATGGATGTTGACGGACGGTAGGTAGTGTGGGGGTGCAAATGTGTTTACCGTCCTTTTCTACGTATCCTCACTCGTATATCCTACCTGCAGTAAGTTTTTGACGAGACTCGCGAGATGACCGCTGTCGGGAGGGTTTGTGAAGGCGGCAGTTTTGGCAAGGCATGCACCGAATTGCCGATTTCCAAGGACACGAGAGTGACAGTAATCGATTCGCTTCCCTCCTTCCGCCTTTCCCGTTCTTTCCGCCTCCCCTGTCCCTGTGCGAACCCATCAACCTAAGGCTGATCAAACACTTTATAACGGGGGGAGTTTGGTCGAAGACGTATCATACGAGCACGAACCCGAAAACACCTCCCTAATGATTGCGTGGAGAGACACCGGTTTCCCATCTTTCCAATTGCTAACTGAGAGCGAGTGAAGTCTGCTTGCCATTT